CTAGACCTTCCATCATTCTTGTTGTTCTTCTCTGGATCTTCTCCAATTTCTCCACCTCTCTCTTGAAATGTGGTGCCCAGCACTGGACACAATCCTCCAACTAAGGCCTAATCAGCTCAGAGTCAAGCGGAAAAATGACATCTCCTGTTTTGCTCTCCAACCCTCCTGTTAATGCATCCCAGAATCATGTTTGCTTTTTTTGTAACGGTGTCACACTGTTGACTGATATTTAGCTTTTGGTCCACTATGACCCCTAGATTCTTTTATGTAGTACTCCTTCCTAGACAGTCACTTCCCATTCTCTATGTGTGAAACAGATTGTTCCTTTCTAAGTGGAGTACTTTGCATTTGTCCTTATTAAACTTCATCCTATTTACTTCAGACCATATCTCCAGATCACTTTGAATTTTGACCTATGCTTCAAAACACTTGCAACGCCTCCCACCTGCAAACTTAACAATCGTCCTCTCTATGCAATCATCTAAATCGTTAATGAAGACATTGAACAGAACCGGTCCGAAAACAGACCCCTGCGGAACCCCACTTGTTATACCTTCCGAGCAGGATTATTAACCATTAATAACTACTCTCTGGGAATGGTCATCCAGCCAATTATGCACCCACCTTATAGAAGCCCCATTTAAGTTCTATTTGCCTAGTTTATTGATAAGAAAATCATACGAGACTGTATCAAGTGCCTTACTAAAGTCTAGGTATACCACGTCTACCGCTTCTCCCTCATCCACAAGACTCGTTATCCTTTACTAACGACTCTCTGAGAACACTTATCCAACCAGCTATCCAATGACCAGATGCCATTTGTGACATGTGGTCTCGGAGAGTTGGCAAACTTACATGAGCCAAACCGTGGGCTCTTCTCCTCAGGGGAGGGAGATATTGGTGGGGCTGGAGCACATGACCTACGAGGAGAGGCTGAGGGATTTGGGCTTGTTTGGTCTGCAGAAGAGAAGAGTGAGGGGGGATTTGGGAGCAGCCTTCAACTCCCTGAAGGGGGGTTCCCAAGAGGATGGAGAGAGGTTGTTCTCAGTGGGGGCAGGTGGCAGAACAAGGAGCAATGGGCTCACATTGCAGTGGGGGAGGTCTAGGTTGGATCTTAGGACAAACCATTTCCCTAGGAGGGTGGGGAAGCCCTGGGCTGGGTTCCCTAGAGAGGGGATGGAATCTCCATCCCTAGAGGTGTTTAAGTCCTGCAAACTTTCAGGCTCAATTTGCCTTCCCTCAGGATCCCTCCCTCAATCCCCTGCTGCTGCCTTTGTGCATCCGCTGTTGTGAATGTCGGGGGTAGAGAGAAAGAGGGACATCATTTGGGGAGTTCTGCTCCCCCCTTTTTGTAGTTGCTTCTCTTCTTTGAGAATTATCTCCCATCAGGCTTTCAGAGACAGAAGGTCAGTGCAGACAAGTTTCCCAAGCTTTGTGTTTACCACAATGCACGTTTTCCATCCAGGTCCTACTTCCTACCCCAGAATGGCCAATTTAACCAGGTGAAGGGGCATTTTTATTTCGTTGACACCTGGCAGAGGCATCAGCTTGTCTTTTGTCTCTGGGGAACTGGTTTGTGGTGGCTCCACACAAGTGAAACATGTCTGAGAAACACCCTGCAGTATAATCTTATCACTTTATCTGCCACAGCTATTTAATCGGGATAATAATGGTCAGCAAATTATGAGTTTTCGGGTGATAGTCACAAGGCACACTTGGAATAAAATGTATCGTAATCCTGTATAAGTGGGGAGTAAAGGGGTACAATCTGTCACAGGCCCTGATGTAACACTGAAAGAACCCAATCCCTGAGAATTCCCAATCATCCCAAAGCCCCAGATAACCCAAGTCCAGCTGTACTCACCAGCCCAAGTCCTAGGGGGCAGGAGAAAGGCCGTGGGGAGCAGAAACAAGGTGAGAACCTGCATGTTTGCAGTCAGTGCAGTGCCTCTGCTACAGGGCTGCAGAGTTTATAAACTCATCTTGTGGGGAGGGATTCAAGGTCACGTGCACACTCACCAAAATACAGGCTTAAGTGGGTCTGTTTCTAACCACAGCCGACCACACAGGCTTGGGGGAAGGATAGAGCATGCATCGGCCCACTAGCTTGGTCCCTGCTCAGCCAGTTGGATGATGCCCTACTGGATGGAGAAGACCCCAGGGGGGACGTGTCCAGCAGGATCCAGGGCTGCTCTGGGTGCTGGTTCACAGCTGGGCACATCTGGGGCTTGTACTCACCTGGCCCTGGCCCTGCTCAGCTCCCTGCAGGTGTGTCTGTGGTGGGGGCTGTGGGGCGTGGCAGCAGCAGCACTT